TCACCCTCAGGAATTATGCTAAACACATGGATAGCTGGGGTCAACCAGGGTGAAAAAAGCTCAAATATTCCACTTGGCCTCAAATCATACCAGCTGTGCTCCTTTTTTCTCATTAGGCTCAGGCTTTTGGCTTTCACAAGCTCTTCCCTTAGGTTTTATGTGCCTGCAGTGCTGAAGCTAGTCAGTCTTTTGTCACTAATTCCCAGGATTCAGTTTCTTCTTGCTTTTACTCATGTGTATAACATCACAAGGTGAGTAGGGAAGGCAGCTGAAATCCCCAGTCGATCTAGGAGCGGGTGCACAAGAAGAAGCCTTTGTAGGGCTAAGTGTGTGCTGTTAACTCAAAGAGGGCCAAGCCCCATTCCTTGGCTTTGGGTCAACCTTTTCAGTAGCACAGATTGTTGTGACAGTGGCCTTTCCTTACCCTTGAAGAACCACTGAAACTCCTTTGTACAGTCAAATTTCAAGGTACTTGGTCAGCTTTTATCTGGAACTTGCTTTGGCAGGTTGTTTAAGAACAATGAATTTTAACTGTCTGAACAACAGAAAAGCTCCTGAGAACATGACCTGAGTGAGGACATTCCCTGCTTACCCTTAATCAGCAGCTTACTTCTGGCTAGGAAGGGTTTTTGGCCTTTCTTCCTCTTTCGTGGTGAGGAGTTAGAAGAATTAGTCACAGTTCCTCCTAAAGGAGTAGGGAGCATTTGGTAATATGTGGGAGCTGAAGTATTTTGTTCTTGGCTGCTGGATAGGCTTTTTTGCTTATGTTCTCCTTCCAGATGCTCAGTGTTAATGGGTAGCTCAGTGATTATCATGACAGAACTGGCTGTTCAAGGGTCTTCCACATCAGGTTAGCTAATACTTAAGAATAAAACACATAGGTTTAAAATCTATGTAGTGAGAATGAAACTCTTGGAGATGGTTTTTCCTTGTTTAAAATTTCATTTTATTTGAAAATCCTGCAGCAGAGACATTTTTGTGTCAGATAGCGTCTCCCTCTGCACATGAGTTTTGCTGTGTCAGGAAGCAAAGTGATATGTAGAGATGTGGGACCAAGTTTTCCTCCAGGTCTGGCCAGTCTGCTCTACAGTTTTACTTCTCCTTTTACTCTGCTTTCCCTGCTTGAGTCTGAGTCTACCACCAGAACTGATCCTGCATTTATCTGAAAGAGCTTTCTCATGTGGCACGGGGAACAGCCTGAAAAAGGAGCAGTAACTTCTACATTGTTTTGCAATGCTGTTGTGTGTGGAGACACTGAAACATCTTAAAGAAATGAGAACGAAGGTAGCATATTCAAAACACATTTAAAAATAGGCCATGCAGTCAGAGCTTATTCAAGAAGTAATCTATACTAAAAATGAAAACAAATTAGAGTACATGAATATTTTTAGGAATAACATTTTGGCATGCTGGCTTTTCAGAACGCTTTTAGGGTCATACATTTACCATTCTTCCTTAGGTGGGAGTCCCCTTGAAACTGGAGGAAGTTGTGCCTGAATGAAACTTTGACCCACGATTTTCCCTAGTATGACATTTTTTTCTTGAATGACCTCCTGGCAACCTTGTTCATAAGTCATTTGTCATGTTTATTCTCTGAGTAAAAAGTGCCTTCCATCTGTTCTTAATCTGTGTTCCCTTTAACTTCTATTTTTGCCTGCTTATTTCTGTCATCTGTGTTGCATTGAAAATACAGTTTCTAGCCAACTTTATTTATCCCCATGTAAGGGTTGTAGTCATTGAAATAAATCTCCTGGCAGTCTTTTCTTCAGGCCTAGACAACCACAGTCATCAGGGGGAAAAAAATGATGGGGGGGCAGCTTGAAATAAATTATTGAAGTTTTACTTAGATACCACTCTCTAGACTCCCTTGGCTAACACTTTCTTTCTTGCTCATTGATGTCTTCCAGCTCTCAACTTTACAGGCCATTTTTGCTCTGTTTTATTTACCTCATATTTTCTGATCTGGTCTCTCCTACCAGCTGTTCATTTTAGGCAAAGCACACGTGCATGGTCTGTATGCTTTTTCCTGAAATGTGTCAGTACATACATGATTTTCTAGGTTCTCCAATAAAGTCTATGGTAGTTTTGGTGAAAAAACGGAGAAAAAATCCCAACTAATTACTGTATTGTCTCTTTCTGATATTAAATTTAAATTTTGGCTATTAATGCTGATTTCTCAGCATGCTGTGACTTTTTAGATAGAAAAACTCATCTTCTTCCAAAGTGCTATTGCAACATGTGTTCCTCTGTTTTGCAAATGAACATATTCCCATTCCCTCTAGACCATTTAAAGACACTGTTTGACTTGGCTTTCTTTTCCTGATTAGGAGGGTGCAGAGGAAGAAAGAAGTCTCGTTCTTTGAATCCTTCGATCAGCAGAATGAAATCCAAGATTGAGGCTAGCTCTATTTTACTTTTTTTTTCTACCCATGGGTGAAATAAACTGCTTTTTCAGAAAGTTTGAGTAACTGGAATCTAGTCAGAAGAAACACAGATGAAAAACATCTAAATCCATGCAGGAGGTTATGCTGAGAATTTTCAGAACAACCTCCTGAGAGCTTAGAGATCATTACTGCTCCTGAAGGCATGTAATGCCACTTACCATAAATCATAACTGTGGATTTGAATCCAGGTAGGGTTTAGACTTTAAGAGTTCCCTTTCTCTTTAGAAATGGTGTTAGACATGATAAAGTGTTTAATGAAGCAAGTTATTAGTAAACCTGGTTTATTTTCCTCATACTACAATCACAGATTGACACATTCCACCTGAGAGGTAGGCAAGGCTAATCAACTTATAATGCTAATTTTTATTGAGTCAAATTTTGAAGCTCTCACTAATTTTAACTGACTCTTACTTCATTCTTTAGGATCAGCAGAAATAAAGGCTACCTAAAAGTTCAGTCATGCATCCTCTCTCAGAATACTTTTTCCTTGTTGAGCCTGGTAGGAAAGTTGATTTTGAGTTGTGCTTATCCACACTGAGGTACTGAAGAACTGAAAAGCTCTTGTTAGAATGCAGAAAATATATGATGTTTTGGATGCTGTGCTGTGTCACAAAAAATCGTCAGTATAAAAATTTTTATATTCTCAGTAAATGGAAACCACAGCAAATGAAGGTAGGCAATTGGGCCAAATATATGTGTATTTCACTAGAAATATTAAAAATCTAGAAAAAGTTCTGAAACTAAAGTATTAGTTTAGAAATTAGAATGTTGATGTAATAGGCATGTTAGAAACTTAATGGAAGAAAAATAATTAATGTGACAGGCACATTGATGACAAATTACATGAGAAATACAGGTAAAGTACAGATTTCTTTTGTCTTGAAGTAAACAGAGTCAAATGTCATGGATTAACTACACCACAAAAGCCAAGAGTGCCTACAGATTGAAATTACAAGATTAAATGGGAAAAGTAGAACTGTAGCACCACAGGACAGCAGTCTGATATTAGGACTACAGTAACAACTGTCCTACCTAAATAGTGACATTGCCCATGAAAAACCTGATCAAGATCAAAAGGGGCATGAAGACAAGAAATGCAATGGCAGTAGGAGACATAATCTACCAAGTGAGATTGGGTAAATGGGCTGGGGGTTGTGATTCCGCATAAAAATTTAGTTTTTTTAAATGCTTGCTTATACAAAAGCTATTTGTTTATCTTGGAGAAAAAAAAGTAATTCTGAGTAATTCTAAGACTTGGTCTTAGATAGCAACAGAAAGGTCTGTTTCAAAATACAGTTAGAATATCTGTGTGACAGCAGCTAACACATTTAGATGCAGTGTTCTTGAAATAGAAGAAAAAAAATGGGAAAAAATCTCCCATGGCAATGTTCAACTTTAAAGAGAAAACTATATAAAAATGTGAAAACTGTTTAAAAAGAAAGGGAGCCAAAATTTAAAATGTTTATAGGAGGCCTGAAGATTGTTTAAATATGGGAGCTCACTGTAAGTCAGCTTCCAGGGAAAGGCCTTAAAAGACCAAAAAAAAAAAAAGGTTTACATAGCTAAACAGCAGGATGAAGGACTAAAAGGATGTCTCTTATTAAAAGGACTTCTTTTATTGGAAGTAAAAGGGCTTTCTTCAAGTTGAATTTCTGCCTAAATGAGGAAAATAAAGCATAAACAATTTAAATATATAAATAAAAGAAAGGCCAAAAGAGATTTTGAACAACAACTTGGCAAAATATACTAGTTAAGTAATTTTCAGTCTCTCTTTAAGTAGGTAAAATCCTGACATAAAATCTACAGGACTAGTAAATTATCAAAGTAGAGAAGGTGTTTGGAGATATGTACATTCTGACATATTTTTCTCTCAAGAACATATCAGAAGTTTTGTCAGCAATAAAAGTGTTATAAGAAGAGATTTCAAAAAAATTGGCAACAATGAACAGTAAAAAATTACCAGGACAGTATGGTATCCCTGCAAATTAAAAAAACTAAAGTACTAAACTGTGCTTAACTAACAAATACTAACTTTTACTTACTAAACCAGTAATGATGGTGTAAGGCTTAAAAGTTTCTCACTCTGAAAAAAATGGAGGTGGTAAATATGACAAGTAATCTGAGAGATTGGTAGGACCTGCAATGCTCTCTTAAGCCCACTTCTAAATCATAAGATTTATGGGTAAGTATGATTAAAAAAAGGGGAGAATAAACATAGCTTTCAAACAGGAACCCAGAACCTCTAAAATTTCGTTGAAAAAGTGACAGGACATATGGATGAGGATGATCCATTTGGTAGAAGCTAGTTGGTCTTCCAGAACTCATTTGAGCATGTTCTTCATCAAAGGGTCTTGAAGAAACTTAAGTATCATAGGGTAAGAGATTCAGGCCTCTCAGTAATAACTGACTACAAATTGAGAAAAAAATAGCAGAGGATATTGTTCATTTTTGCAATGGAGGGAACTCTTCATTAGAGATCCCATGAATCTGTAAGAGCCTGTGATGTTCAACTTACAAATGTTTTGAAAGATACAGGGAGGGGAGGAGATGCCAGAGATGGCAAAATTCACTGATGTTATTCAAGGTAGGAGAAAGGTAAGATTGCTGTAGGGGCTTGCAGCAACATCTCATTATACTGATGAACTAAATTTATCATTAATAAATATAAGGTAATACACATGGGGGGTAGATCTTAACTTGTATATCCAGACACGACTTAGAGTTACAATTGCTAGTTCTAAAAAACCACCCCAAAACCCACTGTTTTCAGCAGAGGACAAAAAAGCAAACAGTGTTTGAAAACTTCAAAAATTTGAATAGAAAACAAAACAGCAAACATCACAATTCCCCTACACAAACGTATCATACATCCAGCTCTTGAATTCTGTTTGCACTTTTGGCCTCTTCTCAGGAAACAGACCTCGTGTAGAATGATCAGAAGTGTGGAAGAGCTTGTCTGGAGTAGCTCAAAATAGAGTTGAGCTCTTCACTCTTGGAATGTGAGGACAGAGGGAAGGATTGGTAACAGTATGTGTGGCACAGAGACAGTAAATGAGGAACATTTCCCTGTTGGCCAAACTGTTCACCAAAAATGTGGTGCACCTGTTACTGGTGGCAGGTTCAAAATGAGCAAGAGGAAGGGGTTTTTTTTATACAATACATAGCTGAAACGTGAAGTTCACTCTTAGAGGATGTTGTGAATTATTCAAAATGTTATTCAACAAAATTAATGGAATTTAAACACCATTAGGGCTATTAAAAAACATGACCTCAGCTTAGGAAGGCCCTAGGGCTGGGTTAAGATCCTGAGAGAGTTTGTCCATGACTGTAAATCCTTGTGTCTTATATTCTTCCCTCAGCTGCTGGAACTGTCCGCTCTTAAGAGACAAACTGCAGGGCGAGGTGAATCTCTGATCTCACCTGGTGCACCCATTGCAATTGCTTTAATAAAATCAGACTTACTACACAGCTCTTATTGCAACTGTTCCTGTTTATATCCAACCTTTATTTTATTTGTAACTCTGCATTAAAAAAAAAAAAAAACCACAACCCAAGAGAGGCTTTGTTGGTTAGCATTGTTCAGTCATGGGGCTCAGACTGATGAGTGGGGAGAGGATGTGACTAGGAAGCCTGGAAATTCATCCCTCACCACTGCCCCGCTCTGTGGATGCCTATTTTGCTTTGTATCTCATGGCCCAAGCTACCTCAGTTTGTAGGCCAGAGTGCTGAATACCTTATGCAAGTTGAGTGCCTGTACAACAGAGTCCTCATTGGCTGGTCTGCAGTGTAGGGACCTTTTTTCATTTGGACAAAGCTAATTTTTATTGTTGTTTTTGTGGGTTCCTTTTAGAAGGGCCCTGCCTACATTTTTCTATCATCCCTCCTCTTTTGCTTACTACTGAATGCTTGCTGGGTTAATATTGTATTTCTTCAATTCCTTCTCAACACAGTATGTGACCTCTGAGGTAGATGGTCCTGGGAAAAGGCTCCATCCATGCTTTCTAGCTGTTTTCTTTTTGTTTAAAGTGGATTATAATTGGTCTTGAGGGAGAAGACTCGGTTTTAAGAATTGTTTGATTTTAGACATTTTGCTACCAGACATGCTTATTTTGATTTTAAAGTTTTTGTTATTCCTATTTTTAAAATAGTGCATTTGGAATACACATCGTAAACACATAATTCTCATATGCTGGCATTATTCTGTTTTTTTATGAAAAATTAATTTTAGTTTTAAAATTGTTGTAGCAGGAAACCCATCAAACCCATGGTTGTAAATTGTTAACTGTTTTAGGCAGGTTTTATCCCATTAAATACCCACCTTGTTGATTTTTTTGTTGTTCTAGTTTCTCAGTCAGAAATCATAGAATGTTGTGTGTTCAAAGGGACTTTAAAGATCATCTAATTCCAACCCCTGACAGGTGCCTATAACACATGCTATATACAAAATATTAATGGTGTACAAGCCACAAGATGGAGATCAGAGAGTTGATAATGTGTTATGGACTCACCTGCTGTCAGTATTGTAGCAAACATGCCCATTTTATGCCCAAGGTGGGAGAGCAGTGGATATGATGTCCTTGATTCCCATTGAAAAGTGACTAAAGGTAAAAACTTCTGGTGTGACCTCTACTGTCAGACCTAACAGGAGTGTAGGGACAAACACTGAACAGAGATTTGCCTGGGAGCCTGAGTGAGACCTGATGAAGGAAGACACTCTACCACTGTTATCTCTGCTTATTCTTATTTTTTAAATTTAGCTTTCTGTGTATCACTGATAATTCTGAAATTACTTGAATGGAAAACATGGGGCTAGAGTTTAGCTGAAGGCTGGGCCCTGCCTTGCTATCACAGAGTTTTGATAGGGTGAGATCACAAAGACAAGGTCAAATGAGAAATTGTGTTTGGAAGTCTTTGCCAACAAGTTTTTGGATATAGAAGTACCACAAGAGGAGGAAAAATGAAAATTAAGGTACATCTGGAAATAGATCACATAATATAATCATATTTTCTCACATAGTTATAGTTTTTGATATTTCATATTGCACTGAAAAGAACTTAATTTGTTTGTAATGAACAAAATGTGGACATGGAGCTCTCACTATGGCAGACTCTGTCATAGCCTAATTATTTTTTTTTGTCTGTCATTTCTTTATATAGGTGGAAAATGTTCGGTTACTTGATCGTTTATCTTCAAGGAAAGCTGTTCTGGGAACCTTGTATTTAACAGCTACCCATGTCATATTTGTGGAGAATGGTTCTGAAACCCGTAAAGAAACCTGGGTATGAATTTTTGTCTTTTCAGTTATTTTTAAGTGCATGGCACTTTATTGATGGTAATTTGAAAACTACTTGCAAAACAGTTTAGACATAGTAAATGAGTTCATATGGATGCTTTTGTAACTTCAGGGTACATGAAGTTCCAGCCTAGTAAATTCTGAAAATTTTCAATGGATTCTGGATATTGCAGTACAATAAGAGGAGTAGAAGGGCCTTCTCTATATGAATACCACATGTATTTGAATGAGGAGCAGCTGCTGTAAACTCCAATATTGTTCTTATCATCCAGGAAGAACTGAAGAGAAATGCCTTGAGTATGAACTACTACCTTGGCTCTATCAGCTCTTGCCTCCCTCACTGACTGCTTGTGCTGAATTAGTAATTTTCTTGTTTCAATATTTTAATTTTTTTTATAATGTAGTGTTTTGAATTAACTATTTTGATGGATTGATAACATATGTTGCATGTTGTCATGGTTTAACCACAAGCCATTAACCAAGCCCCCCGTAGCCACTTGGTCACTTCCCCACCAGCAGGACTGGGGAGAGACTTGGAAGGGTAAAAGCTATAAAACTTTTGGGCTGAGATGAGGACAGTTTAATAGATAAAGTAAAACCCTCACACACAAGCAAAGCAAAACAAGGAATTAATTCACTGCTTGCCATGGGCGGGCAGGTGTTCAGTCATTCCCAGGAGATCAGGGCCCCATCACACGTAACAGGTACTTGGGAAGACAAATTCCCTCACTCCAAACAACCCCCTTCCTCCTTCTTCCCCCACTTTATATGCATGAGTATGCTGTTATATGGTATAGAATATCCCTTTGGTCAGTTGGGGGCAGCTGTCCTGGCTGTGTCCCCTCCCAGTTTCACATGCGTCCTCAGCTTTCTTGCCAGCATTGCAGTATGAGAAGCAGAAAAGGCCTTGATTCCATGGAAGCAATAACAAAAATATCTCTATATTATCAACCCTATGTTCAGCACAATTCCAAAACACAGCCCCATAACAGCCACTGTGAAAGAAATTAACTGTACCCCAACCAAAGCCATCACACATGTACCTATAAAGGTACAAATATTTCTCCAGTGCCGTATCATTTGAGAGTCTTTCATATGCTTAATTATGCATCCTGTGTCCATTTTTGTACTAATTAAATCCATCCTTTTCTGGTCCCACTATTCCTCACCTGATTTTTATTGTAATGTTTCATCTCATCTGACGCAGCATGTAAAATTATATCATCATTACCATTCTACCCATGAGAAGGCCCAATATTTTAGCCATATCTAAGTGGTGCTGGTTCATCTTTTCACTGTGCAAATAGATGAAAAGTGCTCTTTCTCTGACAACCACTAGCTTACACTAAAGCAAGCAAACAAAAAGCTTTGGATAACATGAGCAGGCTGATATTTGAGCAGCTGAAACACTCCAGAAGCGCTTCTTTGTCTGCAGGTGATGTATCAAGCACTGCTTGAGCCTGAAGGTGGAGATTGAAACCAAACTACAGGAGGAGAAGTGTAGGGGGTTTTGTGAAACAGTGGTGGAAGCCACTGTGCCTGCCCTGGCACATCATTATAAATAATTATTTTTCTTCTTAAAGATTTGATTGGCATAACAATTTTCAATTCCTTTACAGGTTCTCCACAGCCAAATTTCCTCTATTGAGAAGCAGGCCACCACTGCCACTGGTTGCCCATTGCTGATCCGCTGCAAGAACTTCCAGGTCATCCAGCTGGTCATCCCTCAGGAACGAGACTGCCATGACATTTACATATCTCTGATCCGTCTGGCACGGCCAGGTATGGGAAGGAAATGGCACAAAAAGTAATCCTCATCCTGAAGAGGGAGAATATAATGGAAGAAATGTATCTGTGTGTCTTTGTCCTTTGCAGGTTAAGAAAAAACCTTTATTAGAGGTGTGTTATAAAAGAAATATTAAAAAAATCACTTATGGAGCAATGAAGAAAGCACAATATAACAAGTAGTTTGTTCCATAAAATATGACATGAGCTTCATTTAAAATAATACTCTATGGGCCATAAAATATATTATAATGCTATTTTACATGCAGCTGTTGTTTGCTGGATGCCTTGTGTAAGTGTGAATTTAAGAAAATACTCTAAATCCAGGGAACTTTTGTGCCCCTACTGTGACAAAAACCTTACAATATATTTAATGGTCATGTCAAGATTTGAATTTTGACTTTCTGTGCTGTGCATAAATTTCTTAAAATCAGTGAAAGGTTTTGCAGCAAGTAGTTGATTTATTCCACCAGCCTGCCCATGTTTTTGTCTATTATTATCTACATTTTGAATGTGCCCTGATTGAATTTCTGAATTCAGTTCAAGATCCTTTTGAAACCTTTCCTCTTTTCAGTGAAAATCCAAATGTTGCACCAAAGTCCAACATCTGATCGCCTACATTATAGCTCCTCTCTGCATTACACTCTCCTAAGAACCAGCTGACAAGGGTTCTGGATTGTTTCTTTTTAAAATTATAACTGTAGAAATACAACACTGACTTTTGTCCCTTACTATTACTTTAATAGGATGCAAAGAAATTGTCTACCACACTGTACAAAGCTGAAAACACTGGCTTTAATTTTTATCTTGCTAGGAGAACACCAATTTCATCTACTGTATAGAGGGGGGAAAATTGCGTAGTCAGCCAGCACAACTACTGAACTATAAAGTACCTTCTATAATTAGGGTAGTAGGAGTAGTAGTAATGTACAACTGTAGCAGAAGTAACTTAGTAGGCTAGGTGATGCTGGTTCAAAGTAATCAGAAAAATTTTAAAACAACGAGACAGATCCAGTCAGTGGTTCTGCTGATATAGGTCTGGATTCATTCCATGGACCTCAGCTGCAAGCATGTGTTCATGCATGCTGGAAGGAATGCAGTTCTGGAATGCTCTTTCCCTGGAGGCTGAAGGAGGTGTGCGTGCTGCTGTGCACCAGAACGGGCAGACAGAAGGGTAGCTATGGACCCTGAATGCAAGTTCAGTGGCAAACTGCAATGGACAAGAAGGTTTGAGTAAAGAAGATGGAAAAACAGCACTGTAGAATTAGCTCTTTCAATAGTTCAACTGCATAGTAGTTTTTCTTCTCCAACAAACTACCCAGTCTTGATGTGAGGAAGGATAAAATTGTGCTTACTTACTCAAAATTAGAAGGCTCTGATTACAAGCTGAGCCATATGTGCCCTGACAGTTCTCAGCCATGTCATTTTGTCTGGGTGTGAAGCTGTACTTTCTTTAGGTAATACAGTTACTCAGCATTAGAAAGTACCCTTTGCTCCATAAGGAGAAAATGGGACTCAGGCTCTACTTTCCATTCTCTGCCTGTTCTTTTCATTCATTAAGCCATAGCGAAGCCTGAGTGAAGCCTATGTTGTGTACTGGCTTAACATGTTCTATGCCAACTGATGTCCTAGTTATATTAAAGGTGAATTTTATGCTAGAATTTTATTTTTGCTAGAATTTTAATAAGATCAAGCTGTCAGCTGAATTTGGACTTTTTGCTTAATTAAGCCATTTTTTTAAAACAAGCTGACTGTAAGACTTGTTACATGCTTATAGCAAAATAACTGTGAAAGATTAGGAAAGGTCCTATAAGTACTGGCAAAGGAGTGGTGACTGAGCTTTAAGGCACTGCTACTAATACTTGAACGTTTTTGATACCACCTATAGATACCATCATGTAATAATACTTGTAACATTGAGGCAGACTTCAGTTGTACGTAACCCAGATATATTTTAATAAGTGAATTTTTAAAGGTTTTCCATGTACCTGTAAACAGCAGGTCCATCAGGAAGAAAATCCAGATGTTTCTGACAACGAAGCAGTGAAAACAAGAGCTCAGATTGCTACCAAAAGCACTTTAGTAAAAAGAGCTCAGATTAGATTTATGGATTATGCTAAAACTTCGTGTTAGCAGATGAGAAGTAAACCAGACTGTCTTCCTCATCTGTGCCATGCCACAAGTTTGAAATTAGAGAATACAGAAAGAGTTTAAATTGTTGGACAATTTGCAAATCATTCTTTTCCTTTTTCCCTACTCAAGACTTTGTTGACTTTCTGTACAGTCCTAACATGAAGTTTTCTTTCCTTATGTTCATACTTTTGTGTATGTGCGTATACAACAAATTTAATGAAATTAAAAAAGGCAAAATAGAATTAAAAGTAAACCTTTAGAAGACATAGTCAAAATACAAGTAAAGACTTTCTATAGAAAAAGGTGGGAACCTTATTATTAATATGGGGGAGTATTATTTTTATACCTCTATATTCTGTACAGTACAGAACACTGTAGTGTTCTAAGACTGCTTATTAGCTATATATTATTAGAAAAAGAAAGTGTAGTATTTAAATTTACTGATCTCCCTAAAATTATATTGTAGAGCAAGTGTATCAGTGGAGAACTGTGAAATCATAGACTCAGCTTGTGATTTACTTTGCCTCAGTTCTAAAGTTAAAAACCTGTTGGTCAGAAAGCTTTAAGGAACTTAGAGCAACGGAATGAAACACACCCTTGTGACACAGTATCTTAAATATCAATGAAAATGTGAATTTCAAATTGTATGCTGAATAGTTACTCATGTCAGTAACAGCTGGCATTCAATGGCAGTGGTGTCTGGCTGCCCCTGGTCACCAGGATTAAGACACTCATTAGCATAAATACAGATATATTCCTAAAAAAAGTCAAAAACTCCAGCACCATCAAAGTTTCCTGTATGGTCCTTGATCGACAGAGACAGGTGGCATAGCTACTTAAACAATTTCATGGTCATGATAAAATGATTGACGCAGCATATGCTTTTTTTATGCTATTACGTCATCTGTATCTCGAATGCCTTTGCCAATAATTCAGGGACAGAATTTTGCACTCCGCAAAACTAAGATTTCATTGAATCTATTGGAAACCTTCCTAATTAGGAACAAAAACTACTGAGTTCATTTTTGTAAGATTGAGCTGCATAGTCCATTGTTCACATCTTATGTCTTTGCCACAGGATAGATGTTACATTAATAAAGGGAATTCTGAACTAGTAGACAGTAAATTCTTTTGCAGATCAAGTGCTTACTCTGGCACTGACTGCAGTTTTCTTTGGATGAAAGCGTTTCACTGACATTTTGTCTGTGCTGGGGGAGGCCTTCACAATTCTACTGAAGTTTAGCAGAACGGTATATTTGTAGTAGCACTTCTATTTCAACATATACAAATATCAAAAGAGCACAATACTTTCAAAGTTAACTTGACAGTAGATATAAACCAGGACATGTGCTTTTGTAAAACAAAGCATACTGCTTTAAAAGAAACTGCATCAAGGCCAACACCAAGTTCTGCTTTTGAAGTGTGATTTCTGGATAAGAAATCTGAAGCGGTTTACTGTTTTTGTTTGTTTGCTTGTTTTTTTCCCAGTGAAATATGAAGAGCTGTATTGCTTCTCATTCAATCCAAAATTAGATAAAGAAGAACGAGAACAAGGCTGGAAGCTTGTGGACCTCAATGAAGAATATAATCGGATGGGCGTTCCAAACAACTATTGGCAGATTTGTGATGTAAACAGAGACTACGGAGTGAGTCGTTGTGATTTTTCTGTTACAGAGGCTGTCTGTAAAACAAATCAGCAGCCTGACTGTGGACTACCATGGTGCTTAGTTGCAGGATCCCTTTGTGCTGAGTGCTGTACACACATGTCACAAGGTGCAGTTCTTTCACATAAAATGGCACACACTTTCACATAAAATGGCACATAGAGAATGAGAGAAAGGATATGTCTTTATTTAACAGATGTGAAAATGAAGCACAGAAAACAGTGTTTTAAATGTTAGAGTTTGGCTGCCTGGGAAGAAGTTTAAATCATTCCTAATGTTATATGTCTGAATAAGATTTTTCCTGACATGTAGGGCTATATAAAATTACTACACAGTCATTTCATGAAAAAAAATTGCTCAAAATAGTGAGGTTAGCAATATTTTTTCCTCACTGGCTATTCCCACACTCGTTTTGAATCCTGTGTGATTGAGTGTTTTCACAGTCATCTAGTAGGTCATATATCTTCCTAGCTGCCTGCTGTCCTGCCTCATTCAGTCTTGTACAACTGAAGATCCTAGAATGTTAATTAATTGTGAGAAATAATAACCAAAGGATTTTTGAAGGAAGTTTGTCCATGCACTGCATTGGCTCTGTTGCTGGAGCACATCCATGTTAAGGAAGGTCTGTGAAGTTCTCAGAGAAGACTGAATGTGCTGTCAGCATTTGTTTTTGTTAAAAGAAGTGGAAAAAAATGTTTGGCCTCTTCGAAGATAAAGTGTAGGGAAAATGGCATCATGAATAAAATCCAGTTCACCACAGCAGCATCTGTAACCACAAGCCATAACTTTCCTTTCTCCTTCATTACATATCTCTGTCTCAGAAAATAATTTTTTCCTGGGCATTCTAATTCCTTTAGTCATCTCAGAAAGTCACAGGGAGATACTGGATATCCTTTTGACCCCAGTCAGAATGTTACAGGCAGTACCAGGACAAGGAAGTTAAACTAGGGCCCCATGTGTGGTCCTACTTGTCTCCGGAGGGATTTCTGGGCTTTTTTTGCAGGCTCATAGGGTTCCTCTCAGAAGTGATAGGCATTGTCAGGGCTGCTTGCCTTTTGGTATCCTCATTTCACATGGTTTAATTTCTTTTCTCCAAGTCCCTATTTTTTATCCTTATTTTTTTAATTATTATTATCAGATTTGCTGGAAAATTTGGCTCTATAGTCGTCTCCCATTATAAAAGAGTGTTTGAGAACTTCACCCACACCCATCCTTACTCCCAAACTGTGCTACAGAGAAAACTGCAGTTGTAAATACAACCTTGCTGTACATAATGATAGATGTTTTCTGGTATGAATGTATGTTAAACCTGTATGTTCTCAACAAGGCATGAATCAACATTTGGAAATACAGCCCTTCAACCCTTCTCCTTCAGTTTTGCCATCTGTAAGTTATGATTAATACTTTCCAGCTTCAAAAGAATGTTTTGAGAAATGTCAGTGATGCATATACAATGATGATGGAACATTTCCCAAGATTTGAGTTCCTTGGTATTTTGTTTTTGCTGTGGAGATGGCTAATGTTACTTGTACTTTGTAGACCAAATAAGCAGTTTCCTTTCACAGGTCTGTGACTCCTATCCTACAGAAGTGTATGTACCAAAATCTGCAACTGCACACATCATAGTGGGGAGTTCTAAATTTCGGAGCCGAAGGCGTTTCCCAGCTCTTTCCTACTACTGCAAGGATAACAATGTAAGCACGAATTTGAAGCTTTGAAGTGTTTGCTTATTTTGGCCTTGGTTTTGTAATTCTTCTAGTAAGGTTTTACAAGAAATCTGTGATTATTTAATTTTTAAAAATGATTACTGTAGCCTGGTTAGTGTGGTTAGTTCATTAATAGATATTAATAGGTATTTAATGCATTCATTTAAATCTAGCTGCATCACACAAAAAAAAGTGATCCCTGTATCATAAGAAAGTGGAGTAGTGCAAGAGGCCCTGAAACTTGGTTGGCAGAAGAATGAAGTAGCAGGCAGCTTAACAGGTGATTGGGAGGAGAACAGAGCAATTTTGGATCTCGTAGCCATAGACTGAGTTGAGGAGGTTAAAAACTATACTTGCAGCAATTAGAGAATCAGGAGTAGCTTTTCAAGAAAACATCTGTGAAGAGACCCAAAAAAGATGGATGAAAGAGCTATCAAGTGTTGGCTGAGCAGCATGTTGTGGGTTCGTTGAAGAGTCTCTCCTTGTCTGCAAGAGTGAGGAGTGCCATCTTCTCTGATTCATAACACATATTCTCAGGGTAAGCAAGGAACTGCCTCACTTGTCTGTAACCTTTTGAAAAAAATTTGAAAAATTTTTGAAAAAAATTTGTGTTCCAGCCCCTTAGAGATTGGCTTAGCTCAACTATCATTACCTGTTAGGCTAATGGTGTCCCTTTTGTGCTGTCAGAGGATCTGTGTGACTCCAGTTTCAGTCCCAGACTGGCAACTGCATTGAGAGGTCTTTTGTAGTGCTGGGGGACAGGCAGGACCTCCCAAGAGACAGGGCTACTCTGAGATTACAGGGCACCTGTAGCTTTTGCCAGGCAGGATGGGAGGTAGAATGTAACAAGCACAAATCATAAGTTACAATCTCCACAGAAATCTTTTGGCCCCTATCATAGTTTAAGCCTCAGAAAGAAGGGGTAAGATGTTATTTTCACTTCTTCCTTACCCTGCATTTTATCAGAATATTGCTTCCCTAAAGATCTATGAATTTTACAACAAAAGTGGAGGATAGGAAGATACAATCTCTGCATAAATTGCATAATTTTTTTAACATTTCGTGAAGGCCAAATTTTTCAGAGTTAATCCCTTTGCATAATCAACTAGGTCCAAATATAGATATCTAGGATTCAAAACACTTGGACATTTCCAAGTATCAGTGAAAGAAAAGGTCTCAGGAGTCAGCTAGATTCCAATATATAGTGATTGGATGAGTTTCATGGTTTCAGCCTGAATGTTTTCCCTGTTATATTTGGAGTCCAGGTTAAGGTTCAAACTACAGGATCTGAAGTATTGTGTTTACTTGTGCATCCTTCATGGTTCAAAGAGCTGGGGAAAGCAGTGTTGAAGGAAATACCTCCTTGTGAGTTGGGAGGTTGCCATGAGTTGCCAGCTAATAGAGTAATGGACAGGGGAGGGAAAAGATTTATGATGCTCACAGCAGGTTAGGAAGTGGTGTGCTGTGTGCAGAGAGAGACAGGTACCACTTGTTCAGTCTTTCATATCCAGAACTTTCCCATAGCTCTTTTGTCCTGACAAAAGAGGTATAAGCATGTATTAAATTGCTGGAATTTACACTGATCAGGAGGCAAGACTGCATAACTAATAACCTGTTTGCAAAAGCTGTTAATAAAGTAGGAACAGGCTCTCACACAATTCAGGGTTTCTATCTTAAAGATCCATATTTTACTTACTAACTACTGACAGTTCAAAGACGTGACTGAAAAAAGCATGTCCTTTCTCACAGTAATAAATAATCTGTAGGGCAGTCTGCATGGGACCTTCAGCAGGCAGATTCTGTTCATGCTTGTGTTCAGTGCTTAGAATGTGCATATATTAGCCCCTTGCCTTCTACAAATCTAGCTGCCCTCTCTCTGCCTAGCAAAAATAAAAGCCTCCCTGCTCACCTATTTCACATTTAGTTCCTTCCTTCCTGATTTCATCTGGAGGGGTCTGTGGAGAAGCTCTCTTGCCTCCTTCAATAGCCATGATTAATAAATGTACTCCAGGAGTCAGGCTGCCTGACCCACTTCTTATGCAGTAAAGTCTTTCTCCAGAGACAGTGCTAAAAATATATGACCATTAGTGATCTGGCTGCATGTTACATGTTTTTGTTTCCTTGACTCCTGGTGTCAGGCTGTTTAGTAAAGCAGGCACTGGTGTAAGTTGGGTGTAACCAGTATCATACCTGGTGTGAGTGACAGTGCAAAAGAACATATCTTTATGTTATATCTGTGTTCTTGTGATTGCAATTCTGTACTCATCCTCAAGATATCACCTTTCAGGAGTTATTCCACATTAGGCAAATACTATATTTAAAATAGCTCTAAAACTTGGATTCGAGACTAGACTTGGGCCAAAGGTGTTGTATTGTTTTAATATTTCCTTGCCTTTTTAAAAATAATGTATTTATTATCATGTAATTAATTTTACCATTCTGCCCTTCTCATAGAACTGTACATCTGTGCAAACAAATGGTTTTGTAAATGCTTCTGGATGCTAAATAATTTCTACTTAATAATAATGTTGGGTTTTTTGTTTGTCTGTTTTTCTGCAGGCCTCCATATGTAGAAGCAGCCAGCCTTTATCTGGCTTCAGTGCTCGGTGCCTTGAGGACGAACAGATGCTCCAGGCCATTAGAAAAGCAAATCCAGGAAGTGATTTCATATACGTTGTTGACACTCGGCCCAAAGTAAGTGTATTAGATTTCTTGCATATAGCAAGACTGAGTTGCACCTGTGTAGCTCCACAGATTGATCAGGGTTTATCAGGGGAATCTTAGCTAGGAACCTTGCCAGCATTGTTATCTTTAGGGGAATTTTTTACTTTACACTGAGCTTTTCTCTTTTTGTTCTTAGCAAAATGTTAAGATAGAGAAAAGTAAATAACTTCTAGTTGTAACTATTTACACACACATAGGAGCTATCTGTAACTATATTTCTGATGAGACTAGCAAAATCTAATTCCCATTATAAAATATTTTTACAGTTGTTCATAATGGGTCCTTCAACTGAACATTCCCAAGTGCTCTTCATATGCTGTCCCTCATTGCACTTGGTAATCTTCAAAACAAAAGATTTGGCCGTACAAGAAAGTTTTGTTTCCACTTCATTTAAATATACCAGGATAACCAAACGCAGAACTTTACTTGGGCCACTGTCTTTCCTCTATGTGATTCCAGAAGAAGCCCATACAAACTTACTGTTTATAGCTAAAACACATTAGTTCTATCCTCTTTATAAAAAGACACAATTTGGTTATTCTCCAAATTAAAGAAAATGCCAGGAAATCTTGCAAGTGGGGTCTGTTACCTTTTGAGGTTGTATCCTCATATTCACTGAGATTAATTGAGGACAGGCACCATTTAGAGAGCTTCACAACAACTACTTTAAGAGCAACAGATGGAATTTTGGTAGATGATGTGGAAAACTTGTTAGTAAATATTGTGGCAGCTGCAAAGTTTGGCAACTGATAGTATTTAAAATAAATGAGTGTCAGAAAGCCCTGCAAATTTAACCTTATATTTATTTACTTTTAAAGAGGGCTATTTCAGATTTTCTTTTAAGAAAGGATTTCTGTGATAAAATTGCTCTGCTGCAGAAACAGTTAATAGTATTTATGTACTGAGGATTAGGTCAGTTAGAGGATAGCTGTTTTTTCTTTAGGATTTCAGGGGTTTGTGCTGGCTTGGACTCATGCGTACAGATCTTTCTTCCTGAAACTATAAGGCTATTGCAGAGAGAGATTGCTTCATTTTGTTTGTAAAAGAACACTGATGTCTACTTCAAAAGAGAAAGATTAGGATTCAGCAGATAATTTATATCTTTCTATCAAGTCACACTGAGAATTCTGTCCTTAATTGACATGCTGTTCACAGGCTGTATCTTTTTTTTTTAATTATTCATTGATAGTCAAAACATCAGCAGACTGCTGGTTGATAGACAAGCATGGGTGTTTTTGCCTGCACATTTCCCTGAACTGCATACTACAAGTTAAAAGAAGTTTTACCCAAGATTTAAATAAATCAAAAATGCTAGTGTTATGCTAGCATAACACTAAATTAAGTTCCTATCTTAGAGTGTGTTTCTTCTGTTCTTCTGCATGAAATTCATGCAATGTTTCAATTCCTAATGGTGGTCCACAAATGTAACTTTTTAGCTGTTTCCTCTGAAAGTTAAGATGTCAAGTTTGGTCCTTGGAAACCTATTTTGACATATGATGCAAAAAAGCTAGGCTTATTCATCTTGGTTGGAGGAAAGTTGGCATGCAGTGGCTCCAAATTAAAACAGAATATCAGGCCTATGTGTGTTTGGGGTGGAAGAGGTCAGAAAAAGAGACATTCTTGTGTATTCCGTGATGCCATTAGTCAAGTAGTGAAGTATATTATTGTGAGTTTCAGAAGTGACCACAGAAGCAGCAAATCAATAGTACTGCCTGCAATATTGGGAAATAAACCGGAAATGGAGTTATCGGCATAGCCTCTTGTCCCTTAGGCAATGCCTAAAAGATACTTTGTTTCGATTTTTCATGAGCATTGGCTCTCACTGAAATGGAGATGAATCACTGAGTAGAACTGATGCCTCATGAAGTCTTTCCAAAAGCTTTATTAGTGCCCTCCAGTTTCAATGTGCCATATCCTTTGTTACTTATTTCTGAAGTATTTCCTGGGCAGAAGCTGTTAGTTGTGCTTGGAGGCATGGAGGTCCTGCCATTTGGACTGCTTTGTCACTCCTGGAGCCTTCATATTTCTTGGGAAGTTCAAAGGCTCCCCAGCCTTACAGCATGGATTTCATAGAAGAGCAGGGACTTTATGCAAAAAGACAATTTCTTTCTATTGCACAGTGACATTTTGCTATAGGAAATTTAAAAAAGTAGATGGAGTAATGAAGTGAAAGTACTTACTTCATTTCTATCAGCATGAGTTGTCAGCCCAAAGATCAATATTTGGCATAAGGAGCTTTTCTTTTCCACCCAAGGATCTCAAAAGGGGAGTGGGGCAGGGGGGAATAAGCATTAAAACACCCTTAATTTTATGATGGGGAGAACTGAATTAAAGAAGTGTTTTATGACTTTTCCATGTCAGGAAACAAGTAACAGATTTAAAGACAAAACTTAAGCTTCCAGCTGAATGTATTTTTTTGCTGAAGCACAGCAACTTATTTGATAGCACCACATTACCAATGAACATATCTGTGGTAATTTTGTCAATTCAAATAATTTGTGATCTTGCACAAGTCGAGCCAAGATATTATAAAATGAGGAAAAACTACTCCAACTCTCTCTTCATTATTCCAAGCATCTGTCAACTTTTGGATGATCTGAGTAGTAAAACACTGTAACTTCGGCAACATTAGTGTGCACATGCTATGAAACAGTGGCATGGCAGATGAGACACTGCCACCTGCTGGGTTTATTCTGATAGTAAACATGATGCTGCTCTAATATGAAATCAAAATAGGCTTTTAAAACCAAATTAAAACTTTCATGCTCTTGCAGAGGAACCCTACCTAAGCTATGTTTTTTGTGTTTAACCTCACTAAAGAAGTTCACTCAAAAGCTGTGAAATCGGGATATCAGAGACTCAGCAACCCAGCACCCTGCAATAGCCTGGAAACAGATCCCTGATTCTCAACCCGTTGTGTTGACATTGTGATAAATGCTTGCCTGACTTAAATCACTCTGATTTATTGCTGTAGACCACAAGCTTTGTTTTGAAAAGAAATTGCTACTGGTTTTCATCCAGTTTTCCATATGTTTTTCAGCTCAATGCTATGGCAAACAGAGCAGCAGGGAAGGGATATGAAAATGAAGACAACTACTCCAACATCAAGTTTCAATTCATAGGCATTGAGAACATCCATGTCATGAGAAATAGTTTGCAGAAAATGCTTGAAGGTAATACTCTTTTTCATTGGAAACTAGAGGAAAGAATTGATCCTTCTGTCACACAAATCAGGGTAACTGCTCTGAAATCAGCAGCAGTGAAAACAGGTATGAAAAGAAATCTTTGCCTGTTGCAGCTGCATGCAGCCGCTACTGGGACTTGGGCAATGGAGCATCATGGCAACTAGTGGTGATTTCCTAATTTTACAAACATTTTGTTTCATGGCTGAAATCCAAATTACTTAAGTGACAAAATTCATTTGGCTTCAATGCACCTTACTGCTACTATATCTTTTTTTTGAAATTTACACTTCGATGGTAAAATGAGAAAAATCACTTACAGCTGACTTTGAGGCTAGTGGAAAATACAGGATTTTTATTTTAAAGCTTAGAAAAACTATGGTTTGATTTTGCATGTGTAGAAGGCAGTCATACATTTTAGACTGTGAATTTTAATAGATGCTTATTCATGCTCTGTATAGAACATGACACATCAGGGCTATTCATGAAATTCACAGTCAATGGGCATAACCATTCAGCACCTTCATAATCCCATCCAAATTAATAATAATTGCTTAGCAGTATGTAAACCAGCACATCTGTTCTTCTGTTTCATATTTGGAGTGCATGACTGTTTAGAGGTCATCTGGGAAAAGAGTAAGGATAAATAAGCCATCCTTGACCCTCAATGGCTTGTTGATTTTTAACAAGCAAATTGTAAATAGTGCTCACTCCAGTGTCTCAGTATTTCCTTCATGTACATCATCAACAACCATCAACTCCTAGATCAGCCTGATTTAGCTATTCTTGACTTGATGCTCTGTCTATGCTCTTTTATTCTTCATCTGTCTCCCATCAACTGTATGCAAATGTAAATTGGAGATCTAAGAAGGGTTTAAATTTTTCATGACAGAAAAGCTGTGCTCTAGTTTAAAATAAGAGCATTTTATGAAAACCAGCATTAAAATGTGATGCAGATAAAATGGTCAGTCTCTTCATGACATATTTTTACTTAATTCCTTGGTCTAAGGGTCTCAGGTAGGAAAACAGAAGGATTTTTAGTTCACTAGGAAGTCTTGTTTGGCTAGGAGAGAGGCTGGGTCAATGAACAAGTCCCTTTATTTGTTCACATGAAGACCATCAAAGATAAAATAGTAAACAATCAGCCTGGCTGCATGGGGCAGTACTGTGTATACTTTTTGAGCCAAAAGTTCATGAGACTGGTCCATGGCCAAGACTTACATGTAGCAAGATAATTTCTAATGCATTTAACACTTCAGGCTACTTGGGGAGCATAAATTCTTAGCATCTATTTTCAAATGAGTTTATGCTCAAAACATTTGCTTTTCTCCTAAGTTTTATATTTGCTATGTTGAAATCTCATATTTAGCAACTTGACTGATAAGATTAGAAACAGGAGTGAAGGGTGGAGGATCTTCACATGACAGACTGCAGATATATATGATTTATTCAATATATGATTTTAAAGAACTTCAATGCTGATAACATTAGAACAAAATTTATTATTCAGTTTTCCATTGGAAAATGCACTTATATTAGGACTGTGTTCATTTCAATGATGTTTCTTTAGGAAAAAGCTGAAGAAATTAATTTATACTTATAAAAATGTCAATATTTTCTTTCAGCGGGTAAAAAAAATAGTTTTCAGCTTTATGATTTTACTGACTATTCTACCAATTTTATCTTAACTTTAACATGTATTTATCCTCATATAATGTTAATTTTTGGCAAATTATATCAGCATTATAAAACGATTCAATTTTTAGGATAAAATTTTTTTCAGAATATGCAAAAAATGTTGAGATTAGACTAATCTGGAAGTAAAACGCATTTCCTTTTGGAAAAAGAAGGTTTTACTTTTTTCTCTGCTGCCTCATATTGCTTAATATAGTATGGATTTTTTTTTCATTTAAAGAGAGGTATATGTGAAGATCCTTGGGACAATTTTGATTCTATGCACAACCTCCTTGAAATCATTTTTAATATTAGAAGGGCATGTTACAGAAGGAGTTTTCTCGTAAAGATTCAAGGGCTGAGTGAGGCTGCTATTTGGCATTCGTGATGGGATGGGCTGTGCCTCACATCCAGGGGCCAGCCATGACTTGACCTCCATTTGTTGTGCATTGAGGTGCTGACCCCACATGCTCCCTGTCTGTAAAGAGTAAATGTGAGCTTCTCCTCCCCTCATACCAGGAGCAGTTGTTGCTGATGTAGGAGCAGCCTTCTGATCCTTGGACTTCAGTGACAGATCAGCCAGTAAGAATGCCTGAGAGTTTGGCTCACAGCAATTATTCCTTCCTCTACTTATGGCCTTCCTGCCAGAAATGAGACAACTGGTCCAGCATCCCCCTGTGGTACTTTTGCTGGTGGAAGAGGCAGTTTCCAACATGTGTCCTGTTTCCTCCTCTCCTCCTGCGAAATGGGCACACCACTGGATTTCTCAGAGCTCTCCCCAAGGGCTCTTGATTTTCCTGTGCCTACACCATGGATGCACCAGGCCTTATTTCTCAGATTTTGGTACCTTTTCTTCTGGATGGAAATGCCTTTTCCCCTTAGGATAAGCGTCATAATTGAATTCATAATCAAACTCAGTATTGAAGGTCCAGATCTGTTGCCAAAATCATGTGAAATATACAGTGTATGCCTTTAGGACACTCTGAACTTTGCTCAGTGAAGTGGTCAGTAAATATTGACTCTAATTGGGCAGCGGGAAGGAGCAAAGCACTGTTTCAGCCTTACCTTGGGCTTTTGTAAACAAAGACAGCAGCTTCAGCCAGAATTCAGCCACTAAGTGGTCATGCTTCCATCTGCACAGCAGCATTAATCATATGAAAAGCTGTTTGCTTTCAGTGCTGCTATCTCTGCATCTTTATAAATATCCTTCAAAAATTATTTTTAAAATAACCATCTGGAAAAGGTCTTACATACAAACATTGTAAGACTTTGTATGGATACATTAGACCATTTTATTTTTTAATTAAATGGAGTTAGGACAGTCCAGTAGCCCAGATATGGTATAAAATCTGACTTTGGCTTATAAAATTAAATTTCAATTACAACGAAGGAAATAAAATTATCCCAGTGGCCATAAATAACTGAGTCTTTTAAGATTTCTGAACCACCAGAGACCTACTAAGACATTAGTTATTGACAGATCATACATTAACGTGGTAAAACCCATGCCATTTTTCACTGTATTCTGAAAATGAATTTCACCGGCTAATATTTTTTCCTTAAAAGCAGTATGACACTACATGGATCAAAAGAAAGGTATAGTCTATTTATGAGGTGAATTTAGTATCTCACTGTTGAAAACAGACTGCACCAAATTTCATTGAGTATTTGTTTGCTGCTGGGCTGAGGTATTTGATTTAGATTCCGATTGCTCTTTTTTTCTTCTAATGCCTCAAACTTTCTAATATTAAAAGTTAGACACTTGGATACAGCCAAACCTAAACTTAAAGTAAAAACTGAGAGATTATAATTTTTTCCTTCAAACATGGCATAGAATTTGGAAGGTTTTCAGGAAAATATTTTCCTTGATGAATTATGGCTTGTCCTCACCATCGGAATACTTACTCTAAGTGAAGCTTTAGTAAGCTTTCATTCTGGGATGGAGAAGTGTAGAGTGAATTGCTTTAATTCAACCACCATCATCTGTGGTGATGCTGGGAGTAGAAGGCAGTGGCTGTCTGCCTGTCTGCCAGTAGAAATCATGTGCTTTCTGTTTCCAAGCCCTCGTTATTAAATACACAAGCCCCTCCCAGGAGTTTGAAAACTTCACTCCCAACACAATTTTGGAAAATCTGTGCCTCACAGAAGGATGCATTTGGTAAACTGTTTGCAATAGACTTTATGACAGCTTCTCTTTTTAACTTAAATTAAACTAAATTTTAAACTAAAATTGGGTGAAATTTGACCAAGCCCTGTTTCTTAAATATATGTGCTTTTTCAATGGTGATGTTTGACTGTGAATTAGTCATTCTTTTGAAAAGATGCATGTTTTACACAGGAGATGTCTGAAGAAGAGATAATTCTGAGGCTGAACAGTCAGTGATGCTTAAGGGACTTTAAATACTGTACGTTTAAAATGTAGCTTATTTTGCAGTTTGTGAGCTGAAATCACCTTCAATGAGCGACTTTCTATGGGGCCTAGAAAATTCTGGCTGGCTGAAGCATATCAAAGCCATTATGGATGCTGGCATTTTTATTGCAAAGGTAAAGTGTGTAAAATGAGATCAGAACTTGCAGTAACCAGACACAGAAAGTGAGGACCAAATTCGCTGCTTGTGGGTAACTTCTTTTATCTCTTCAGTGATGTTATACCTGAAAATAGCCCATCTTGCAATGCTTCATGTGTGAGGAGAGATGTTTCTTAGATGCTGTTGTGTGGACCTTTTGCTGATGTGATAAAAAAAGCTTGTGTCCTTTTGTACTAAAGCCTCTACTAGCCCTTAACTTGTTATGCCAGGCATTTGAATGTCCTTACTTTACTCCCCAGCAGTGATTGTTACAGTTCCTCTCCCTATTTCCCCTGCCTCCTCCACTGGTTTCTGGACATTATCTTTGTTGAAGGTTTCTGGTATTATATAAAATTAACTAATGTGTTATCCCCTCTGAGTTATCAGGCAACCAACTAAATTCACCTCCTGGACCAATTCCTGTATATTGCCATGGCCAAACTCTCTAGCAGTTTCTACTCTTATATAATTGAGAAATATTCCAGAAAACAGTTGTTGGCTTTAATAAGAAATTATTTCTCCTAATCCCACCCAAAGTAATGCACATATTTGTCATTTACCAACAGTAGCTTTAATTTTATTACTTCCTTCCTTGTGCTCTGTCTTTTACTGCTATTTTTGAGATTACTATTACAATTTCTTATAGGGCATTTTATTCAAATGATGTGCTACATACAACTGTATGATACAACTGTATGATGTGCTACATACAACCATATAGATAAAACTTCATGGATTTCCCTCCTCACTAACTGCTTGTTTCTCTTGCTCTACTACCTTTCATTAGCTAATAGAAATCAGGTCTTTAGCTTTGCCAACTTTTCCCCAGTGGCTAGTCTTAAAATTCTGTCAAAAAATGTTATCCTTTATTGATAAGCTTGTTAGCCTTGTGCCTCCTCGGACATGCATTTTGAACCATTCTTATTTGTACAGTTCCCAGTTCTTAGTTCTTGGTCCTCTGCCCACAGGGCTTCTATTTTAGTAGAATTAACTTGTCTCTTGAGATAAACATAGAAAATTTATTACTATTCCTCATTCCCTATTAAGCCCAAACTTAACTTAAATGTTTATTTTTCTAAGCAGTGTCTTTCCTAACCTATTTTATTTTCTACTTCCTAAATTTAGTTCTCTTTAGAAATGACAAAGGCCAAAACCTTTAGAACTAAAAAAAAACCCAACAACCAACCCTCAAGTTCTAAAAATAATGCAACTTTATGTGTTTATGTATAAAATGGGATCCTCTCTCACCAGTTTTTACATTAAAGATACTGATAAAATCTTGCTTATTAGATATGGAAGTTTACCACTACCACAGGTTTCCCCACAAATCTTTGCAGTATGTCATTAGTGCAATGCAGTGTACTGTAATAACATCCAGGCTAGTGCTGGCATTGGAAGCAAAAATTGCCCTTATTGACATTACCATCAAGATGAGAAATTAAGAGCCATATTTTAAGTATGGCGATTCTGTTACTGGTATGTGAGTTAGAGCATTAACTCCATCTGAATCTGCTGTAGGTGCTTGTCCACTCTGACAGATTGATGTATTTAATTGAAACAAATCCCACATCCTCCTAGAGTGGGACTTAAACGGGTGATGCTCCACCACCATATTGCACAGGATGGGATGAATTAAGACTTTTCAAATAAAAGGAATAACACGCAACATTATGCAAGAATTCTGTCACAGAATAAAAAATTAACCAAGTTTCCCAGTTCCCATATTAATACTCTATGGCACTACCTCACTGTTCCCCTCTTACCATTGTCTTCCCCCCTGCTTGTGAAATTTCTGACTTTTTCTGTGTCCTTAGGCTGTGGCTGAGGAAGGTGTGAGTGTGCTTGTTCACTGCTCTGATGGCTGGGATAGGACAGCCCAGGTTTGCTCTGTAGCAAGCCTTCTATTGGATCCATATTACAGAACTATGAAGGGATTCATGGTAAGCAGGTTCTTTTACAGAGTAAATAAAGTAATATGGCATCACTTAAGATTAATATCTTTTAATGGGAAATGGGAAATAAACTTTCCTTAAATATACCTTTTTTTTTTTTTTAAGTAGGAAGGCAGGTTTCTATCTGTCCACATTAAAGTCTTCCAATTTCTGTATGAAGTGTTATCAAAGGTGGGGATCAGTTGGGCACCTTTTTGTTTTTTTCCTAACTTAGACCAAGAAACTTTCTCGCAGTCCAAGGAGCTTTTGTGCAAGCAAGAATTTGTATTCATTTGCAGTAAACATTATAAATTTGAGTGTCAGAAGTGTGTGTTTTCTAGGCATTAGATTGCAATGAGCAGCTATGTTGGAAAATCTGTTCCTTTTCCATGTATATCAGCAGTGGTAAAGCATCTAGGAATGCTTATCAAGTTACTGGTCACATGTTAAAAAGATGTTTGAGACATTTATAAGTTCTTTTTAGAAAGTGAGGAAGCAAGCTAATTGAAGTTGTGCTGAAATACTGGCATCCTATTTGCACCCATGAAGAGTGCTGCTTTCCCTGAGCTTGCAGCAGTGCTCATCACTCATTGTTTTTCTGCTAATTCTGAAAATTATTTAGGATTCTAATACTGCTTGCTTACATCATTCTTGCTTGTCACTGCTTATTCTAAGAATTAATTGGGATTCCAATGCTGCTTGTTTACACCGCTCTTCTGCCTGTTTCAACATGTGTCAACTCTACTCCACAACACTGAACACAATATTCTCATTTTAGGTGTTAATTGAAAAAGATTGGGTTTCCTTTGGTCACAAATTTAACCACAGGTAAGGTGGTGGTAAGGTTTTCATATATATGTGTGTGTGTGTGTGTGTGTGTGTGTTTACGTTGTCAGTATCTGCTCCCACTCCAGTTTTACTTCTTCGCTGTCTTACAAAGCATATCAACAGAATGCCCTCAGGAAACTGCCATACCTTTTGCTCCTACTATATAATTTATCTGTCTAGAAAAGTCAAAGGGAAATATTTTTGTATCAATCTTTTCTTGTATCTGCACTCCAAAACCACTATTGGGAATCCCGAGTGCTGGTCTTGCAGTTGCTGTGAGCACTGAGAGGTCCATGTGAGTGAAAAGTAGTATGTAAGTGGCTTGCAAAATCCCTTTGGACTCCAGCAGATCTTGTAGTAGTGCCAAGGCTCCTCACATAAGTCCCTGTTCAGCAAAGTCTACATCTTCCAAGACAGTACTTAATCTTAGGCATGCCTGTGAGTTATCTCTTACATAAAACATACTCTTCCTATTACACTCTGTTCTAACAAAACCAGCAGAATTTGCTCAGAAACGCCAGGCAAAGTGAAGTGGAAAGTAATTTATTTGGGCAAGTTATTTTGAACATCCATCCAATGTAAGTGCTGTATTGTTTGAAGACTTTATATGTTTAAACATGGATAAATATTCACATTTTCTTTCTTTTTTGAATTTCCTTTTAGTTTCTGTAAAAATAAAAAGTGCAATTTTTATATTGGGGTTTAATTACATTATATAGCTTGATTTGAATATAAATTTGTTATAGTTTCAAAAAACACAATAAAGCTTTCAGGAAATCTGTGCAGCTCCATACCACCTGTGAAATTCCAGCAGGAATTACTTCATTTAACATGATACTGTCAGTTGTCTATGATTATCAGTGGTAAAAGGTATTATGAAATGCAGGTAGCTTTGGTTTGCTGTGCAGTGTTGCTATATTTTCTTGGATAATAATATCAGAAGTTTCAAGTTTAGATGTTTAAGGAATTCCACTCTGTTGGCATGTATATATATATACGTATATACATAAATACACACACATGACAAGAATAATAATTGATTGAAAATGCTTCTTCCTATTATGTAGACTTATATTTTTTGCTTCTATGTGTTTTATATTTTGAGGCTCCTTTTCTTCATTGCAAGTGGTTCCAAGAGGTATTTTTATGGATAGAAAATTTGATGTTCACTTGACAGTTACAGCATGTAAACATTTCCCACCTTCTAAAAATTTCACCAAGAGAGGGCAGCTTTAACCTGTTTTCTGCCGAGGTTATTCTGTACCTCTCCTGCTGTTTTCTGGTTTGGGGAATGGTCTGCTATTAAGAGACTGTCTTAAGATACATTTTTGTCATTAAGTCGTCGCAGTCATTCTTACAATGACATATTACTGTGGTATAACTTCATATTAATAGCATTAAAGCATGGCTATGCAGCAGTCAGCTGTTTGTAGGGGGAAGGTAACAAGATACCCATAAAAGGCTTTTTTTGTTTGTAATTCTGCCTTCATTCTACTCCATGATTCTTGCATCTTTTTTGTAAGTAAAAAAATATACTAGTAGTTGAGATTTTAGAAATGAATGCCTATGATGTAAGCTGCACACTAGAAGTGAGGGGTTTGTTTTTATTAGTGTTAATTCAGTTTTCCTACAAGAATTCAGGTTTTAATTAAATGTATCTTGTCTTATTTCAGGTATGGCAATTTAGATGGCGATCCAAAGGAGATATCACCTGTTATTGACCAGTTCATTGAATGTGTTTGGCAATTAATGGAACAGTTTCCTTGTGCCTTTGAATTCAATGAGAGATTCCTCATCCACATACAGCATCATATCTATTCTTGCCAGTTTGGGAATTTCCTGTGTAACAGCCAGAAGGAGAGACGAGAGCTGAAGTATGAAAGTAGCATATTATGCATTTGATTTCTTTAGTAGCATATTTACATATGGGGTCTGTGGCTGGTGATGTATTGAGGAGTCAGACATTAACCTGCAGTCTGACTCCAGTCTGACATTAACATCCAGTCAGCATGTATGTGTTTTCATAAGGCGTAGGGTGCCTGTTGTCTTCTGGCAACACAGATTAATACCACAAAAAGTTGATCCTCTGCAGTGTAGCTCTGCTGGGAGTGTAATCCGTGGTGTGCGTGATAGGGATTAGTGAAAACAGACAAGAGCAGTAGTCCTTCAGCCATGTGGGCCTACCTTTACTGCAGCACTAACAACATACAAGGCAAGCTGTCCCTGTAGCTCTAATATAAGATGATACTAACTCTAATTAAGTTCTCAGTTCAAGAGTTACTGCTCTTCTGTGTTTTAACCTGTCTTTGGATCTCAAGTCAGGCCATTTAGTTTTGTTCTCTCAGGTACAGCCTTTTTGTCTGATAGCCCTCCCTAGGACTGAGTCAGCAAACTATCCGCCTGCTACCTGGCCCCAAAGCAATTATGAATTAATCTTCCTGCCCTTAGGCCCAAACAGAGACAGCATCATCATTCCCTGATGTTTGTATCCATTTCCTGGGGCCCTGGGTCCTCAATACAGGATGATATCCATCACTTTTCTCGTGTACCCTGATCATGTCAGCAGTAGCAATGAGACGAAGGTGGCAATTACTGCTGGCTGCTGCCATTTGGTCCCTTTCACTGCTTATGTGCAGAGTAGCCACACTGCCACAGTCCATTTAAAATCAAAACCTTCACAGATCATCATATCCCAAGACCCAATTCCATAAGAAATTGCAGTTCAGTGGGGTAGGAGTGCTTTTAAATGTGGGCATTCTTTTGGTGCAGAGATCAGCCTGAAAGCTTACTTTATGCAAGTGATCCTCTTCACCTTGCAAAGGAACCAGTCTCTCCACCTTTTCTCTCCAGCTGCTCTCGCTTCATGGGAAATGGGTTGGATTTTGCCTTTCGTAATCAACAAGGGAATATGGGTCTCTGTTTCTCTATACTTCTTACTTAAGTCTGATTTTGGTAAGGAAGCTGATTGTAAATGGGGAGTACAGAGGACTAGAATGCTCCATCTAAGCTTTAGCTATTCCTGAACTGTAGCAGACACTTTAATATATTTTTATCTTTTTTTCAGAATCCAAGAACGAACATATTCATTATGGGCTCACTTGTGGAAAAATCGTGCTGATTACCTGAATCCTTTATACAGGTCAGACCACAGTCAAAACCAAGGGACCCTGCACCCACAGATAGCTCCATGCAACTTCTTGTACAAGTAGGTACTATCACTTGCTACAGAAAATTGTAGGATGCGTTAGTACAGAACAGAGTGACTTCATATACAAGTATTTCTCATTCTGTAAGAGAGTAAATTCAATCTCAGATACAATGTGTTTGCTCCTTGTGTGCTCATAGTCAGCAAACACCTCTGCATGATTCCACAACAGAGTATTAGTCTGAAAAGAAGCTTAAGATTAAAGCTATATTGATAGTTGTGTGTCCTAATTTCATGGTTACTCACTTCTTCCACTGAGATATGCCTCTTTCAATTCTGTTCTTGTCTGTGATTTCTAAATTTATAGTTGCTTTAACTTCTTCCATCCCAAGATTTTTTGATGTTTATTTGGATCAATTGGTGTCAAAAATAAAAAGGATCTTTTCAAGAAAAGATTGCTAAAAGATTGCTAAAACGAGTGTTTAGTAAAACAAAAAGGATACTTTCCCCATGTTGTTGTTATACCTCAAAGTAAGTTTTACTTGATATTTTTTAAAAAATGTAACAAAATATCATCCTTTTTGAAACATTACTATTGACATTCTGACTTAGTTGTGCCATTAATCTTAACACATTTAAGGAGAACTTTAATAAAAATTCATGAAAATTGTGATTTAAGTAAAACTGATCAGTTTGTTTTCCAGTTGCAAGTAATAGCACTTGTTAAAAACTCAATAAAAATCCTAAATTACAGAAATTTAATTCTTTCATGTCTACTATACAATTTAAAAATAGTCATTAATCGTATTCTTTGGGAGAGTGGGATTTATAAAAGAAGTACTGATACAACAGATCCTCCAATGGATGAGTAATCCTGTTGATTTTAATGGAATTACTTGGGTGCGTAAAGATTTCCAAGCAGGAGCTATCAGATGATAAACTTAAGGGGGAATGTGATTAAATAGTATACTATTGGGATAGGAATAATAAGCCACCAATGAGCACGCACGTGCTCCAAAAATATCTGTCAGCTACTTGGCTAGACAGCTGCAGCTGATGGCAGGGCTCAGCTACTTAACCTGTCTGCTGAACTGGTTACACTCAGTCTGGCTGTGGCCATAGTGTCAGGAAGGCAGAAGACAGAAGAGCCCTAGAGTAAGCTAGAGTCCTTTCCTCCTGAAAATGAAAAATCAACTTAACTGTTTAACTAAAGGTTTGTCAAGTAATTTCACAGAACAGGAAGAGAAATTGCCAATGTATATAATTGCTTCATCCATAGGCAGTTTAAAATGCCAGTTTAAATTGTAAGAGAACAGAACACCATACTGGTTTTTACTCATGATTTTTAACCCTTTTTTACAGTGGACCCCCCTCCCATTAACTATCTACACCTCCCCGCCCCCCCAGCCCCAGACAAAAACAAGCATACAGAATCTCAAAGTTGACTTCATGAGAAGTTAAACAATTGAGAACTAGGAATATGAAAAACTGTCTTTACCCTTGGCTGTTTTATAAGTACCATTGCGCTGGAGCGCATAGTGTAGAACAACAAAATAATACAAAAAAAAAAAACCACAAAATTTTGCATTCAGCTATGTGATCTAAGTCAAAGTTACATTCATCTTTCTTTTTATTACATATCAAAATTGGTTCAAGGTGCTTATGTCCACAGAGTTGCACCTTCAGGACAGAGCAAATGCAAATGAACAATGAACCTTGCCAAATACTCTATGAATTTATGTGTATGCACTCTAATGACACATAAGCCATGGATGGATCATTTAGAACAATGTCTGGGGAAAAAAAAAAAAAAAGAAAAAAAGAGTGCGCATTTATGTCTCATGATGCTACCTCACTAAAAGAAAATTCCTGACATTCCCATTAATTCCAGGTTCTGGAGTGGTATGTACAACCGCTTTGAAAAGGGGCTGCATCCTCGACAGTCAGTTACTGATTATCTGATGGCAGTGAAGGAAGAAACTCAGCAGTTGGAAGAAGAGCTGGAGGTCTTAGGAGAGGTAATAAACACTTGAGCTTGATACCCCAGACTTGGCAACTGATGATAAATGAAACCCAATTCCATATGCTGCAGAGTCACCTACACACTAATCCTTTTCTGGAATGAGGATGTTCATATGTCATTGTTTTCAGATAAATTGTCACAAATGTTTTGCATTAAGACACAGAAGGGGTTTTATTCTTTAAGGATGAAATTTTACCTGTGTTGGTGCACAAATACTACTGAAAGTGAGTTTAATCCTTCTGTAATTCAGAAGGAATTGTAGCTCAGAAGGCTGCTGTAAGTCAGCGTTGGTTTGTGAGAAATTGTGCACTTCTCATACTCCACAGACAGTTTTAAAGGGTGCTAGTTGGGCTGGGCTCTGAACTTATATTTAAAAAAAAAAAGGCAAAGACATAGAAGAGGATTACTGGTCCTAAATGTGTGCATGTAATACTGTTTCCTTTATTTCAGCGATTGGCGAATCTTCAGAAATCACAATTAGGTGATAATAAAGTCAAGAGTAAGCAACAAGACCGAAGCAAACAGTTAAGGCTGTCTACTTCCAACAATAGCTTAGCTAACACTCCCCAGGAGTATAGCAACGATCTGAAGTCATTCCCATCCTGGAGTCCTTCACAAGGGGATGAAGAAGATTCTGCCCTGATTTTGACACAGGACAACCTGAAAAGTTCTGATCCTGACCTCTCAGCCAACAGTGATCAGGAGTCTGGTGTGGAGGACTTAAGCTGTAGGTCCCCAAGTGGAGGTGGCTGCTTGCCTAGTGAAGACAGTGGCAAGGACTCTGATGAGGCTGTATTTCTGGCAGGCTGAAACACCTTCACAGCAGCAAGGATCCAGATGAAGTTGAGTCTTACACAGTCTGGAATGACATCTTTTCATCAGATGAAGAATGGAAGTGGTCTGTAGCCTAAAGAAATAATCCAAAGAAAGGGAACTGTGCAATTGTGTAAGTAAAGATCTAAGCAGAACAAGTTCATTAATTTTAAGACATAATGCTAAAAAAGGTAATATCTGCTGTTATATTTAGTTAAGCTAATGTGATATTTGTTTTATCAATGCTGTACATAATTATTCCTTACTTTGTACATTTCCATAATTATTTATTGTACAAGATAATAGTTCTTCTCCAAAGATGTGAAATTCCAAAGTACTCTCTTACACAAGGTTGAAGATGCATTAGTGTTAGCCTTACTGGTGAAGCTGTCAAAACTTATTTTTGTAGAGTTCTTCTGCCTTCAGACATACTATGTATATTTTTTTTTTCATAAGAGGTGTTAAATTTTGAATTCAAACAATTATTTTGCATATCCTCCTACTAGAATTCTTTACAGCAAAGTAAAACTAACAAATTGACATGCTGGCTAAGGGGACAAATGAAGCTTTGATCCTGATAAAAAAATCCTTTAGTAAGCAGTTTCTGCTGCTGCATGTGAATTCATCCCATTTCTACTTGGTTCTCAAGCAGTGTTGAAAGTTCAGTAGTTTCTGTGACCAAAACTTCAAAGGAATATAACAGTATTCACACAGCCTTTGTGCTAAAGCATCCCTTTATAACAAAAGGTACATTAGGCAGTTTACTCTAGCCTCTTTATGTTTAGTTCTCAAGTTTGTTTCTATCTTACCCTAGTTCCAAACCACCTACCTAAAATTCTAAAGGTAGTAAAATCCTAAATTCTCCAGCCTATTCTGATTCCTACTTGAAAATGTTTTATTTGAGTTGAGTGAGATACATATACAGTGCAGAGGATAGCGAATATAAAACCACTTACAGAAATCACTTACGAAAGCATCACTTTGAATTTGTAAGTAAAGGAAGGTTATGCCCATAAAGGAACTGTTATAAAGAATGTTCCTTCCAAATTCTGTTGTTCAAAATAAACTAACCATTAGCAACCAGTTTTTCTGTCTTCACACAAAATTTCCCTTTTAGTATTTGCCAAACTGAAGAGCATGGCAATACTAATTTAAGAACTGATTCAACATTTACCAGGAAGTTTAATCTTGTTATCATATTTTTAAGAATAGGAGTAATAGTTTTCATAATCATCAGTACAGAGGTAAACAAGTGAAAAATGTTTAAAATTTGGAATGTCTTGAAACTCACTAAAAAGGTGGCCAAATTAGGCTGCAATTCTTCCAAGTTTCTTTTTTATTTTTAAAAATTAGTTAAAGCAAGCAGTTAAAAATATAGTTCACATGACTGCTCTTACCTGCTTGGAGACAATGTGGTATTGAACTCTAGTAAAGCAAAGTGGTAGTAATGTAAGTTTACTTTGATTGCATTTCACATTACTCCTCTGAATACAGACTTACAGACAGAGTTGTATTATATAAATATGCTTCAATTTAGAATTGTTAGATTTTATTACATTTATGGAATGGTTTTCATTCTGTTCTGTGAACTTACATTATTAAAAGTGAGTATGTAAACTTCAGTATTATTAATATCCTCCTAAGGGAGCTGCTGTCTTTGAACAAATAATTCCTAACAGCAAGGTTTATCTTAATGTTATAGTGGAAAGGCCAGATCCTCAATTTGATAAATCCCTATAGCTCAATTCAAATAAATACAACTCTAAGGTATACTCTGTTGAGAATCTAGCCTTCTGTTTTTAATCTTTATGAATTTTTAATAAATGAAATCCCTGATTTTAATTGCACTTTTAAAAATGTTTTGTATTTTGAACATAGCCTGTAAAGTTTATGTTATTAGAGACTTTGAATGCACTTTCTCAAACTAAAGAAATATGCTGCAAAGTCAGAAACGAAAACAAACCACACAAATATTCTACCTAAAAATGAGTTTGAAAATGGGCATTGTTATTGCACATCTTTAAAATATAAAATTATATATGATATTGTGTCCTATTAGACATGTCCAGAAATAAATGCAGAACAGCAAGATACGCAAATTCAAAGCACTGTCTTTGTGTCGCTTATGCAACTCCATGTAACTAGCTTTACAACTAAAATATTAACATATTAACATTTTCTTTATCAAGCCTTCATTTAGCAGCCCTCTGTGATGTGTCTTTCAGCCTTTGAAATTTTGCATTAGCTGCTACTGTTTTCACTGTACTGCATGTATTTGTGGCATTATCAGGCTAATGAGAAACACTTTCAAATAAACACTTAGGTGTGATTTATTTCACACCAGTGAGTGAAAGAAAGGTTTGCTATCCTGATTTTTGTACTGTAGTTTTTCATTTACTCAAAAGTCAATTTGCCACTAAGAACAGGGAATTTTTCTATCTTCCCTACTTTGATACTTTAATCCAGTAGTTTTAAGCTGTGGAGAAATCTACAACTGATAACTAAGAAAACCAAGACTCTCAACAATTGTGTTAATAATATGGAAGGATGTTACAGCCCTGTATTTATTTTTCTTAGGAAATGCAAACCAAAAAAGATTGAGAAAACCATACAAGGAACTACACTGATTTCTTGTAGCCTTGTGCTGCAAACCTTTGCAAATTTGGCATAAGCCCACTGTAATTTAAAATACGACACATATGAACATAGCTAAACTGCTGAAAAGGCCTCTCTAGGTTCAGGCTGGTCTTTAGTATGAAAATGTGCCTCTAAAGGACACTGAAGGGAATGGGATCAAACAGCTGAAGCCTTCTCTACAGAAGATCACCATCTGAAGCACAGAAGGAAAACCTATTCACTACTGCTTTTATTAGTAGCTCTGTACAAGAGAGAAAAAGGTGATGAACTGCAAATGGATTCTAAAAATCTGAGAAATAGAATTAAAAAGTTGGAGGGCACAACTCAGAGCAAGTGATATCATTAGAAGTAAGAAGAGAAAAAGAAAATAAGTAAAAGGAGGGAGGCAGGGAAGGAAAGCTCTTTGTAAAATCAGCAAGTAAGGCAGGGAACCACATTCTTTGAAGACGGGGCAAGCTAATGAAACCTTAGAGGTCCACCAGAATTGTGACTGAGTTCAGGCAAGGACTCACTTTTTTAAGTCTACTGGTTGCCAAGTGTTTTTGGATGAATTTATTCCCTTTGTGGAGACTAAAGAACACAGTTATTTTATATAAAGTATTTCCTTATTATTGATATACAAGCTTTCTTCATAGCTTATTACTGTAAGTGTGATGTCTACAAGGTATCTGACCAAAACAAGGTGCTTACAAAAGCCAGAGATCCAGTATGGGTTTTCAAAGCCTGTTTCAGTGAAGGTGGCTCCAAGAATTACTGCTATTGAGAGAGTTAAACATGAAAAGCTCACATCACTACTCATGAAGATATTAAGTTTCTCCTTGAGTAGCTTACTGCATCCATTTCCAGCATAATTCTGTATCCACTCAAGAAGTCCTGCAATGTCAAATGCCTGACTCTATCCATAAGTTAGATGATTACAAGATATATAAAAATCCCAAAGCTTTTATTTGTAAGTTTAACACATTACAGCATTTACTGTTCAGAATAAAGACACAATTATGGCTGATAACTTTGTTGTCAGAGTTTTAATTCAGTTTGACCTGAAGGTCTCTTAAATCTCTCTTTTAAAAAGATTTATGCTAGTCTTTGAAGGGAGTAGTAAGAATTTGGACATGAATAAAACTGTAAGATTTCTAACTTATACATTTGGTCCAGGTCCAAAGCAGCAAAACTGCAGGATTATGTACAGAGCAAACAGAACTATAGTACATACTGCTTAGAACTGACTTTACCATAATAGTCTCTTGCTTGCAGTGGTGCCTAGCACAGCAGAGTGCCTCCTGAGCAAATTTGCTGATGACGCAAAGCTGGGAGGAGTGGCAAATACTCCAGAGCATTGTGCAGCCCTTCAGAAGGACCTCAATAGGTTGGAGAGATGGGCAGAGAGACCTTCTGAAATTCAACACAGGCAAATGAAGAGTCCTCCACCTGAGAAGAGTATTTCTGGGCTCCTCAGTACAAGAGAGACATGGAGCTCCTGAAGAAGGCCCAGCAGAGGGCAACAAAAATGATGAGGGGACTGGAGCACCTCAGTGATGAGAATAGGCTGAGGGAGCTGGACCCGTTCAGCCTTCAGAAGAGACGACTGAGAGGGGACCTCAGCAATGTCTGTAAGTATCTGAAGGGAGGGTCTCAAGAGGATGGAGCCAGGCTCTTCTCGGTGGTGCCAAGCAATAGGACAAGAGGCAATGGGCAGAAACTGATGCACAGGAAGCTCCAACTGAATATGAGGAAGAACTTCTTTACTGTGCAGGTGACCAAGCACTGACAAAATTGACCAGAGAGGTTGTGGAGTCTCCCTCAGTGGAGATACCTAAGAACTGTCTGGATGCAATCCTGTACCATGTCCTCTAGGATGCCCCTCCTTGAGCAGGGAAGTTGGACCAGATAACCCACTGTGGTCCCTTCCAATCTTACCCATTCTGTGGTCCTGTGACTTAGCTGCAAGATCAGGTATTGAAATTAGGCAAACCCCAGGCTCAAGTAGCAGTTACAATACAGAATGTACTTCCCCCCAAAAACTACTGCAACATCAGACAAGCCATCTTCTTACTCTGATTTCCTGCTCACTGAGTTCTCTTTCCCACTTGGCAGAGCACCTGAGGGTGACATAGCGCAAGGCTCCCCAAGAAACAAGTCACTGTACGTAGCCTGTTATTCCAGATTGCTTAAAAGTTCGCTTGACACATTTCAAAAGCCTTCAGAATATGCATCTAACAGCAGCTGCCATTCTCTTACACTTTACAGGGAGTTGTTTAAAGATGGATTTACACCTACACTCCATATTTTAGCAAAATAATGTAAGGAACGCACTCAACAGTGAGGTACCAGCATGCTAGAAGCAAAAAAACCTAACTCTTGACAGTGTTATCACCATTCTACTAAGTCTTTTGGTGAAGGTGTAACCAGTGTAGGACTAAAGAAAAAAAAAACAAACCTCAAGGAGAAAATACAAACCTGCATCAGCTTGGCCTTTAAAGCCAGAAAAGCCAGAAACAGGCTGGCTTTTCTTGGATGTGATGGGATTCCTGCAGCTACCCAACATTGTTGAATACAGAGGCTTTTGTACTTCTTTTCCAGAGGATAGGTTTGTGTCTGCAAAGAGGCTAAAAAATAAGGGAAAAAAAATCTAAAGAATAGGAACAATAATATGAGAGAACAGAAAGGGAGAAAAGGGGAGATCTTAAACTCTCATATCCCTGAACAACAAACACTGAACTTGCATTGAACAGTGACAATTTCTTCCAGACTCTACTCCACTACCACCAGAAAGACTCCATGAAGTTTTGAATTTGTAAATTTGCTAAAGTCATCATGGCTAGGTTTCATGAACGAAGATTTGGGAAGGACTCTGCCCACACTTGCTACAAGTGCGCTGGTGGCTAAAAAAGCCAATGCAAGATAGACAAGTCCAGTTGCAAAAGGCACAGCAGAAAGACTCCTTAGGTGGTATCGACAAGACACGGTTCTTTCTACGTTGTCTTTTCTCCTCAAGAGTGATCCTGCGTGCATTCTCAAAAGAAGCAGCAGCATTATAGTGTGTCTCCAGGCCTCCTGATTGGAGGCCAGAGTAGACCAACGATGATGGATATGGCCAAGGCTGAGACATTGTTTCAGGGAGTCCTTGTATCTCCTCTTCAAGGCTCCTCTCTTGCAGCAGCCGGTGGCAAGTTCACCTTAGAGCACAATCTTAGGGAGGCAGTGGTCCTTCATCCTGGAGACATGCCCTGCCCAACACATGTTGCTGTGTTCTCAGCAACATGGCCTCAATACTTGTAACTGCTGCCTGTTCTAGAACAGATGTATTAGTCACATAATCTGACCAGTGGACGTTTAGGATTGTAGAGAGGCAGCATTGATGGAAGCGTTCTAGGAGTCGCAGGTGGTGGCGGTAGATGACCCATGATTCAGACCCATATAAGAGAGTAGACAGCACAATGGCTCTGTAAACGCTGATCTTTGTACTCTTCTTCAGGTGTTTGTTTCGCCAAACTCTTTTGTGGAGTTTTCTGAAAGCACTATATGCCTTTGCTAACCTGTTGTCTATCTCTCCATCAATCTTACCATCCGAGGAAATGATGCTTCCCAGGTAATTAAACTGCTGGACTGATTTGAGCTCTGATTCACCAGTGGTGACATGAGGATGGTGGAAGACTTCCTGAGGTGCAGGTTGGTAGAAAACTTCTGTCTTCTTTAAGCTGACTTCCAGCCCAAAAAGTTCAGCAGCCTCTGCAAAGCAGGATGTTAAACGCTGCAGAGCTGCCTCTGTGTGGGTGACGAGGACGGCGGTGTCAGTGTAAAGCAGCTCCTGGGCAAGATGGTTTAAGGTCTTAGTGTGGGCCTTCAGTCACCTTAGGTTGAATGGGTTTCCATTGGTATGATATCGGATGTAGATACCATTTTCTTCGTTGAGGTCTGCCATGGCCCTTTGGAGCATCATGCTGAAAAAGATTGTGGATAGGGTTGGTGCAAGAACGCAGCCTTGTTTCACACCACTGGTTATTTGACAGGGCTCGAAAAATGCATCAGCATGTCTGACTTGGCTGTGCTGATCCTCATGGAGTGAGATGATCATTTTAAGGAACTTGGGGGGAAATCCTAAATGTTCCAGAATCTGCCACAGACCTTTTCTGCTCACGGTATCAAAAGCTTTGGTGAGATCAACAAAGGTTACATAGAGACCTTTGTTCTGTTCCCTGCACTTCTCTTGCAGTTGTCTGAGAACAAATACCATGTCTGTGGTGCTCCTGTTGGCTCTGAAACCACGCTGGCTTTCAGGTAGAATTCCTTCTGCTATAGCGGGTATTAGTCTGTTCAAAAGTATTCTTGCCAGGATTTTGCCAGCAATAGAGAGCAGAGTAATACCACAGTAATTTGAGCAGTCTGACTTAATACCTTTCTTCTTATACAAGGTGATGATGACTGCGTCACAAAGGTCTACCAAAGATGGTAGTTCGCCTGGTTCCCAACAGCGCACCACAAATTTGTGAAATTTAGCACGGAGTGCTTGGCCCCCATGCTTCCAGACTTCAGGTGGAATTCCATCAACCCCAGCTGCCTTGCCAGTTTTCACCTGCTGTATGGCCTTAAGAGTTTCTCCCATAGTAGGGGCAATATCCAATTCATTTTTCACCAGTTGTGTAATATACTGAATTGCTGAGTCTTGAACTACACAGCTAGTACTGAAAAGAGT